TCATGTATGGGTATTTCTTGTCCAGACAGTCTTACATACAAAACATGAGATGCTCAAAAAAAATGCAACCGATTTTGATATTTACTTAATCATATTTAGTTACTTTAACACAATTGTTTTATGTCTTACCCTGCTAACATGGAGTAACTAAATATGATTAAGTAAATGCCAAACGCCGTAGCACAATTTTTTTCAGTAAGTAATGAGCTTGGATTAATTGGAATATTGTTTCTCATATTTATATACTTTTATTAGCTTTTTGAGTTTAATATTACGCCTGTAGGCTGGTGAAAACACAAACTTTCAGAAAAAATGAGAAACACCAGTTTTTATTTATTTATTTTTTTTTCCATTTGACATATTTCAAATTCCACCAGAAAGTCACATATTGGCTTTCTTTTTTTTTTTGGCTTGCAACTTTAAGATTATTTGCCATTCTCTAAATTTTTTTGTACTCGCTTCATTTCCCTATATCCAAACCTGAGTAGTGAAACCTTTTTAAGGTTTTCTGTTCAGGTTTTGATTGGCCATCTATTCTCTTGTCCCTTTGGATTACCGTAAGTTACTTTTGAGATGCTTTTATGCCATTAATCAAGAAGTTATTTCTGTAATTTTAAAGCTACTAGCTGCCTAAATCTATCAGTGATCTGGAAAATAAGAAGCATAAATCCATTTTATTCTGTAATAAGCGCAAATATATGTTTTGTCAGTTAAATATTCTCAAAATCAACAAATTAGCACCAAAAAATTAAAAAAGAAAAAAAAGGATAATTTTTCTGAGTAAATATTCAACTTTTTGTTTCAGTGACGTTTGATTTATTGTGCTTGCTTGTTTGTTTTCATCAGTGAGAAACTGTTTGACCTCCCTGAACCACAAAACCTACATGCAATTTGTTCCCCTGTTAGTCGGGTTGATGCAGGGGCCTCTCTGCGCACATCGCTGCGCTGCACAAGTGCGCACTTGTCGGGAATGCCTTCGGCCCTGCAGAAAGGGCGCAGCGCTGCCCCAGCATTTGTAATCCGGTTAGATGTTTGCCCTCAGTCTCATCACATGAATCCACTTCTTGTTTTGAAATTTTGGATGATCTTTCGGTGACAACCTGAGAACAGTATGGTTCTTTACAGACTTTGTTTTTAATTGAACAGTTTCCAATTTGTGAGTCAGATGGGGAGAATCGAGCTCTGATCTCTTTAGGATGTGCACTGAATTAAAAATAATAATACAATTATTATCAATAAAGAATAAAACAAAGACTAACCCAACAAAACAGTATCTTTAATTAAAAACAACACAAAAATAATTAGAAACATCCATAAATGAAAAATTGAATTGCACTCTTACTCTTATATTGCACATTGACTAAAGTAGTTGAGCTTACATGGTAGAAAAGAACAGAACACTTCCAACTCCTAAGATTAGGGAATGTTTCTATTAGTGACATGGTGCTTCCTGTTGTTTTGCCCTTTGTCATGGCTCCCTCTGGTGGAAAAGAACCCCCTTTACAAGCATTAAAACAGTTTGAGGTATGCTTAGCCATAATGTAATTGAAAAGAGAGGATAATAAACAAGATAAATCATCAGGGTAGTTTTTTGTTGATGGGAATTCTTAAGCAGCAGTTGAGCAATTTTTCCTGAAAGTTGATGTTTCAGAAGCAGGAAACAATGATCAGACTGGATTCAATGAACTAAATAAAGATGGCTGGGTGATAATATAAACTCCAGCTCTTGAGAGGTGTTCAAGGTGGGGTTCAAGCTGAGGTCTGTTTAGATAATCAGTAAATAGGGGTAGACAGAAGACTGGTCCACACAGAGATCAAAGAAGGAGGGTAGTCTGATGTCTCATGTTCTGCTTTATATCATCTGGATTGGGAGTGGCGGCCTGGGGTTAGGGCATAGAGCTTGGAATCCTTAGGTTATGTATTAAGTTTGAGCCCCACTCCCACAGACTGCCACTCTGGCTCTCTGAGCAAGACCCTTAACCCCCAATTGCGTCCCACGATGGCAGCCCATCGCTCCCAAAGGGGGCGGGTTACATGAAATTCTTCAATGTGAGATCAATAGTTCAATATTCATCACCCAGTTGGATGAAGAGAGCAAGTCGCTGCAGGTAGTGTGATTGTTAGGGCAAACCTTGGCTCCTGTCTTCACAATTTCAAGGCTCTACTGCTGACCTCTTGGTATCAGGGGGTCAATCAGAGTCCTTCCTGGGAACAAGTTAGTGTGGTTTCAACAGCACCAATGAAAATCTAATCAGAGCTCTACCCACATGGCATAATGTTCAACGTGGGGTTAGAAAGGAGCTGGTAAAGGGTTGAAATAAGTCAGCGGTTTAGACTTCCTCTTCCTCTCTTTTTCCTGAGAGGTTCATTCAAGGTCATATCCTCAGTTGTGGCAGTGCAGCATAAAGATGTTCTCCAGGGCATTGTGTAGCTCCTAAATCTCTGTGCCCATAAAGCACAAAGTCTGGTTGTATGAATCCTTGTCTGACTCCAGACATCAGCAGCTGTTTGACTGACAACAACGCCTCTTTGCTCGGTGTGTCATCTAAAATCAAAGGAAGTAGAAGTCAGGCTTTAGTAGCATCCACGTGGTTTAGAGATGAGTCAGCAGTTTGAAAGCCTATTTATTGATTCATTGTTGGTATGCTGGGGGTTTGCTCTAGTCCAAAGGATTGCTTACTGTTAAAATTGCCCATTAATGCGATGCCCAAGGAGTCATCGTTGTGGCCTTTGGTGTGCGCCCCTCTCACACCCCATCCTCGACCCTCAAACACACTACCATCTCCTCCAATAAGGAAACTGAAAGAAAGAACATTGAGACAGTCACATTTTCATACCAAAAACTTTCTTAAAATTTAAAACATGAAGAGCGAAAACATACTCACTTATACCCGATGTCATCAAAATGTCTGTCCTTCATATGAAGCATCTGGATGCTCAGAAGATGGTCCTTACTCTCTGCCAGGCCCTTGCAGTTCAGGAGGGCCGTGTGGTGTATCACAACTCTCTGCGCTGGACCTTTGAGACTCTCTGTTTGTTTCGGGGCGGCTGCTCCCCACTGTTCCCTTGAAACTATGTTAACTTTAAAGCAGATCAAGACATGATTAAAATTACAACATTCAAAGAAAATAATTAGGAGGAATTAGTATCTATTCCCTTACCTGTTTGCTCCATGAGGCTGTACACTGCAGCTTATAGGTGTGAAGACTGACCATGCAGCACCTCCTTTATCAGAGTTTGTTTATGAGGGTGTGGTTTTGGAAACTACACCTCGCCTCACAAGCTGTTTTTTTGTAGCATGCCAACAAGTTATTTTACAGCAAACACAGCCGGCAGAGCAATAGTCATACAGTTGCATAACCAGCCGGTTGGAATATACACGCCGGAAGAAGGAGGAAGTGTACATAAATATGGGCTGAATATTGTAAACACAGGCTGGACAGATTTGTTCACACAGATAAGACAGGATTTCTAAAGTTTATCGGAGTTTTGACAGGAAATCTGCCGGTTATGATGAAATACTGACATGTTTGTTTTCCCATAGAAAAAAAAAAACAGCGGGAAAGTTTTGTGGCTTGTTTATGATTTAGGAGTCGGAAAACATTTGTTATATAACAAAGATAAACACGGAGTTCATTGAGAGATATACCTTTATGGAATGTAAGGAGGGCTTTAAAAAAACAGGTTAAAAAACAAACATTCTTACACCAATTAAACCATTTCAAATTACATACAGTTGATTTAAGTGGGACTTTATATGATAGATGAACACAAAGTAAAAAAGAAAATGAGATTCCTTTATTCTGCTACCATTCAACAGTTTATAAGTGTCCATCTCTGTGTTATTTAATCTCAGCATAAGTTCAGCTGTTGTGTAAAGACCTCAGAGGTTTGTTAGAGCAAATAAATTAACAGCGTCTTAGAGATGGAAGGACAGAAAAAAAGGTCAGAAAGAAGCACTGAAGACGTTTAAAGTGAATTTACAAGGGCTGAAATTTTTCATATGAAATTATTTAAATCTCTATAGATTAAATAGCAAATTACAGCTATGAACTAATTGTGGTTTCTGACTTACAGGTGTTCAAACTGAGTCAAGTCTGTGTTTTTGCATTTTAACACAACCAGAGACTGTTGATCAAATGAAAGTAGCTCATAGTGATAATGTCCCATAATATAACCTTGTAAGACATTTTGCAAGGTCATATAATAGGCATCATAACCATAAGTTACTTTTATTTCATCAAAAGTCTCCCGTGGTGTGAGTCCTTTCCAATAGAAAAACCGGATAACTGCTCGACACTCAACAGGCTCCATTTCAGACTTTACTCAGTTCAAACACCTGTAAGTCAGAAACCACAAATAGTTTAGAGCTGTAATTTGCTACCGTACTTAATCTATAGAGATTTAGATAACCTCACATGCAAAATTTCAGCTTAATCAAACATCTGGAATCGGGTCAGGGGCATTACTTATTGAACGCCCCTCGTAGGCTACATATCAATATCCCACTATTGAACTTCCCACAGAGCAGGAAGACGTTGGCTGTTAATAAACAGAATGAGAGCGTTATTAGAGTCAAGAGCTCCTTCACAGTCATCTACTACATGGGTTATAGAAAATCTTAAAAAAACATTGGTAGTTGACTTACGTTAGGCCGTCGATGGTCTCTTTCATGCTCCAGTTTCTACCAGCAGCAGCGAACAGAGTTGAGAAAGTCAAAACAGTTTCTTATTGGCTACAATCTAAGTCACCGGAATTGAAATGAAGTTTCTGGCTTTGGTTTTTGGCACCAAATCTTGCCATACTTCCCTTTTTTCTATCTGGAGTTTTATTCACTGCATATGATGGTAAGCCTTAGCTGGCTTTTTTTCATTTATTTGTGATGAGTCATAAGCCATCTTTATGGGAAACAGCCCTTGGTGAGTGGTAACTCATAAACCATTGTAATGCCATCACCTGCTAATCTTCGTAAGGCAGAAAATCCAGAGTATTTTTGCTTGCAGCTTCAAAAAAATCTTTTTTTTTTGTTTTTGCAACTATAAAAAAATTCCTTATATCTATAGTTGATCATTATATATTCTTTCACTTTTTTAATAACCGATTACCAACCATTGTGTTGCATTTGAGAAACCTTATGTTTCCCTCTATAATATTCTATTCTTAGTAGATTTTTTTTAAAATTGCTAATAATGAGTAATATTAGTGTGTAATAATATTATTTCCGAGCTTTTAATCTTTCTGTGTGAAACGTGAACCACCGGCCACAGAATAGAAATATAATTTACAAGTGAAAAGGTCAAATGTTATTTGCATGAAATGCATGACTTCAGATTTTTTCTTACTGTAAATCCCAAAGAAAGCAGAAAGCAGGAAGTAAAATGCTGTAGCTTTAATGCTATAAATGACCATGTGTACTTCATCTGGTTATATGCTTAGTAAAACAAAGTGAAGGGAAACAAATGTAAACCTAGGAAAATACTTTCAAATAAAATGTAAGAATTTGCTAAAAGGAGGCAGCAATTTCATTATGTTTGCTTGTAGAGGAAACTGAAATAAGTACAGCTTCCTCCTTGGTGATTCAGAGATCAGGAAAATCCAGCCTTTTACAGTGTTATTTCTGGCTTTTTGAAACGGTGTGATCGTTGGTGCTGAATATTGTAATCCTGGTAAAAGATACTCATGACGGATTATTCTAAATCTCAGACTTAAAAATCAGTTACAACAGTGCAGCGTAGGGAGGTTTTAAAACAGGAAGATAAAATGATATCAGATGTAAATGTGCTCACTCAGGAAATTTGGCAGGATCTTGTATTTTTTTTTTACGTTTTTTTTTATTTCCCTTCCAGAAAGTGGATGCCCATTGTACTAATAATCAGATTGAAGTCACTGTTAGATTTTGACAAATTATCCCAGGGGTTTAAATAAATTTTGCATCAAACATTTAATAAAGCTGCTAAACTGTCTCTTTTTGCAATAGATTTATCATATAATATGCAAGTTTCATGTCCTTTTAACAGAAGAACTGTAATTTATCAGGGCTTTCTCTAACCTACAGGGGAAAAAAAAAAAAAAAAAGTTTTACTGATATGTCCGTCTGAGAGTCTGAGAGAACTGATGAAGTACCTTGACCTCATCCAGTTTTCTGACACTTGCAGGTTATAGACAAAACCTTTTCAGGATTGATGCAAGGCCTTTGGAGCAGGTTATCAATTTTTTAAGCTTTAGTTATTTCAAAACCTGAACAAATTTTTTTCTGTTCACCTATGTTGTGTGAAAACCCATTTATGTCCAGAAATAATCTCTAGAACTGAACATGAACCAGAAAAGTTGCAAACCTTGCTCCCTTGGAGAGTCCACTTATTTCCAGAAAAGGTTTTTGACAATTTGATACAAAAAGGAGTCAGCTGCATCATGTTAATGAAGTTTGCTGGATAAAAATGAGAAAACATGGAGGAAATGCTCTACAACGCTCATCTGCTTAAAACAAGAACTTTATGGTTAAATCTTAAAGCTATAGTGGAGGATGTTCTTTTTTCGGGTGGATCATCAAAATAAGTGGTCCTCTTAATTGTCAATCATTCTGCTGATATGTTTATGTAAGGCTGTCCTATGTGCTCATCCATTTTCACTTACCGGTGGTGAGTCTGACATAGAGGAAAAACTGCAAATCTTCTTGTGGAAAGTAAGCTTGTATGAGAGATGCAAACTGCAAATAATAAACAGAGCGTGCACAAGAAGAAATGGGCTCATGGAGGCTCTCGCACACGTTTATTAGCTGTTCCCTTTAGGGAGCGTGTACAGGGTTGTGCATGTGCATTTTTTAGGTGGAGAGCGCAGGTCTTTTCAAAAATTGGCGGAGATCCTCCGCTATATCTTTAAACAATAAAAGGTTTGCAAAGTCGAATCTAACTGGTTCTGGTAACAATACAATAAAGTAAGCTCGCATTAGGCTTCAAAGTCAGACCCAGGTCAAGAAAGCAATACATTTAAATAAGCTTTACCATTTATAAGACAGCTCCAATATTTAAGCAGGATTGTCAGGTTATGATGGCTTAAAAATGTTGAGCTTCAAGCGGAATTCATCCAGATGTCAGTTTGGTGTATGTATATCAATGAGGTTGATTGGATTAAAGAATATCTGAATGCATTTAAAGCTGTGCACCACAATCTTCTTTTGTTGTAGTATCAATAGCCCCCTTCAACAACCTTACCTCACAAAAAAAACAACAATATTAAGATGTTCTGCATATGAAAACTTCAGTCATTAAATGCAGGTTATCAGTGTGTTTTGTGGTTTGCAACAGGCAGCAGATGACTAATGTGTCCTCTGAGTGAAAGAGACATATTTATTTGATGACTTATCTATAAAACTCTGCTTAGCCAGACTCCCTCTTGCCTAAATTCTCTTCAACAAAGATTTAATACTGTCTTATTTTGTTTTGCTTCAACATTTTTCTTTTGCATGTTTCAAGTACTCAGAGAAATATAAACAAACATTCAGCAGTACACTGCAAAAAATGTTTTTTTTTTTCTTAAAATAAGCATATTTTTCTATTGAATTGAGCAGGTGATACACTTTGCCAAAGGAACAGGACAATTCATATTTAAAAAAAGAAAACAACTGCATTTTTCAAACATTTTTGCAGTGTAAGATCTCATTCCTTTCACAATATTTCCAACCAGTCATAAGAACAAGCTGACTTTCTTAATTGGTGCCAAAATTGTCTTCATATTTTTGACTTTTTAATTTTTTTTAACTGTGTAGCCTACTTATTATATGAGATCTTCTGCACAGACCCCATTTGAAATTAAGATATAGATCTCAAAGCCCAAGTTGTACCCAATACTCATGTCAGCAATTAGTGATTCTGTCACCAGAATCCAATTTCTTTCATCTAAGAGATCATAATAGGGAAATAAAAAAGCAGAAGTGTCTTAGGAGTTTTTTTTTTAATAAAAAGTTTTATTACATTCAAATCCCCAAAACAAATTCTTAAAATCTAACAAGAAACAAACTGAAACTGAGCATCACTAATCAAACTGTTCAGTGAATGGTTGTCAATTAGAAAACAATTATATTACAAAGCAGGTCTGCTACTGAAAAGAAAAACAACAACAAAAAAAGTTCCATCTCCCGGCTGAATCTTCGACTGTTCAGGACAGACTTCTCCATGATAAACAGCTGCTACTCTGTCCACCGGTGTCCACAGTGAGGAGCCGTGCAGACGTAATACAGACGCATAGCATCCTGGGAAGGAAAAAACCCCAAACTAATTTAGATTC